GTACATTTTCCTTCTTTCATACATGGCGATATTAAATTTCATGCTCCACATGGACCGTGAATCATATTTCGGACGATGGTATCATACAATTCTTTATCTTGCTCAGGATCCGGATTATCTCGGCGCTTATCATGTCGTCTATTTCGCTGGGCCGCAACTTCTCTTTAAGCCATATTAGAATGTGGGCATGCGGCATGGCAATACATGAAGCACTGCACTGCACTTTAGTCTGTCAGTACTTTTTTGGCCCGGCATTAGCTCCTCAGTTATTTCTTTCCATGTGGGATTGCAAGTAAAAGTAACAAAAAGATCGGGTCTTCCGTAAGTTCGTACATAGGCGAATGCATCTTGTGTGTACTCATGTAGGTAGCGGGGACTGTTAACGAATGTTGAGGGCAGAATTACCATTTTACCTAAATCTCTGGGGTTTACATTGGCGTCGCTAGAAACTGCATCTTGTAAATGTATATAATTCTCAACGCGCAGCTTTTTTTGATATAAAGATATATAACGGAGACGTTCACTATCTACCTTCACGTACAAGTCTACCAAAAATTGATGAAGTAATTATCTACACCGGGCTAAGAGGTTAAAATCATTTTCTCGCAACATCATATGATACGCATAAAAATCCATACATGATATTTTTTGTTCGGAGTAGGCTCCTTTGTGACCGAGTTTTTGAGTAGAATTTGAAAATGATAACCCTCTTGTCCTTTGCAATAAATCAATGAGTATTGCAGAGCGTCATAAAACTTGTGTGTATCGGCTACCCGTTGCAACGTATCATCACGTGCTCGCAAGACAATGTCTCGCGAAGAAAATTAATCACCACTAATTACGGCAGCTATTTCGTTTATCAAAAGGTGCATTGTAGCGCCTTTCATGCTCTCCTCGAGGGGTCCGATCTGCGTGAATGACGACTTTATAATCCTCTTCAGGTAGGTTTTCTAAAGCAGTTTTAAATGTTTTGACTAAAATGTTACGTTCATGCAAGAATCTTTAAATTTTGAACACTGTGTCTCTCTCAACTCCCTGGATAAATTGGCAGCGATGGTCTACATCAATTTCTTCGTCACCCATAAAATATACTTGTAAAAATTTATGCTGTTCGTTTTCAGCTGGAAAAAGTGAACCTATTCTATGATAAATTTGCCCTTGCACCGTAAATGTAGGCGAAAATCCCGGCATTATTATTTCCCGGTCAACTCCGAAGGACGTCATTTGAAAGCATGAGTTATGTTTCCGGATCCTGTTTAAAAAGCGCCGTGACTCATTAGCATCATATAAAAAGAGAGTTTTCAAAGGTTCTTCTGGTTCCCCAAGTAACGGAAGAGACACTTTGCCATTGACACAGCACATGCCTGCGGTCTCATCTTTCCATTTTAAAGCGCTGCAAAATCGACACGCCTTGTCCATCAGTCCGATAATAACTAACCTGTGATTTTTATAATCAATCAACGGATCATAATTGAATGCTGCATTATTAAAAACCGACCAATTGTTTCTTTGAAAATTCTTGGAGCTGTGCATTTGCATCTCTTCGCGCCTGTGTCTGTTCTGGTGTTTCAGATGCCCTTATATTAGATTGACGTTCAGCTTGCTCAATGAGTCTGTGTTGAGTTTCATCAGGTGTTTCCGCGGCTCTTAAGGCGGCCTGACGTTCCGCTTGTTCGAATAGCCTTTGCTGACTTTGAGCAGGTGTTTCAGTAGCTCTTAAAGTAGATTGACGCTCTGCCTGTTCAAGACGTCTTTGCTGACTTTGATCAGGTGTTTCTGTAGCTCTTAAAGTAGCTTGACGCTCTGCCTGTTCAAGACGCCTTCGCTGACTTTGAGATGTTTCAGAAGCTCTTAAAGTAGCTTGACGCTCTGCCTGTTCAAAACGCCTTTCCTGACTTTGAGAAGGTGTTTCGGAAGCTCTTAAAGCAGCCTGACGCTCTGTCTGTTCAAGACGCCTTTACTGACGTTGAGAAGGTTTCTCAGATGCTCTAAAAGCAGCCTGACGCTCTACTTGTTCTTGCCTTCTCAGTTCAGCATCTTCTAAAGATTCTAGCGATCGAGCTAATCTTTTCGCTTGTATTTGAGAAGATACTCTTGAAAGGCTGGACTTACATTTGCGAGGCATTTTGAAGTAACAAAAAACCTATTTATAAGAAAACTTTAAAATACCTAAAAGGAATTAAATTTCCTTTTAAATATTTTTTTTAAATCAAATCCAAAATATCTAAAAGGAATAAATATTCCCTTTAAATATTTTTTTAAATCAAAACAACAAAACTAATTCAAGACACAACACGAATCCGAAAACGATAGCAAAAAAAATCGAATCAACTTAAACCAAATCACAAAACAAATCGAAAGAAGAAATAAGTGTATAGGTACCGTATACACTATCTATACTATTAATATTCCTTTGAAATATTGTTAAACAACCTAAAACAACGAAAACCAATTCACGATTCCAAATAAACAAAATCCAAAATCAAAGCCAGAGTCTAAATATGTATAAAGGAATACCAACCAAATCAACAAAACCGATACAAGAAAATACACAAATCCGAAAATGAAAGCCAATATAAATCCATTCAACCTTAACCAAATCCCAAAGCAAATAACAAACAACCGAAATCGAAAGCAGGTAGTCGAATAAGCTACGAAATAGAAACAATTTAAGCGTATAGGTACCGTATGCACTATACGTTGACGCGCGGCTCAACAGCGGGAGTTAAGTACATGTCAGGAAACATTTCGTTACCGCGTTTTAAAACTTAGTAACATCTAGCGGAATCAATTTAAACTATGTATACGTTAGTTAATAAGAACTCTCAAAAAATATTTTTCTTATAATTTTGCACAATTTTTCTTATTGTTATACCGATTCATACATAACCACATATAAGAACATATTCGATTTTACCACGGGAATGACATGTTTTTCCGCGGAAAAAAGTAACCTATGTCACTCTACAGCCACCGAACTATCCCCATACAAAATCATGTCATGCCGACGCTCTGTTGCGACGTGAAAGGAGGACAAACAAACACACTTTCGCATTTATAATATTATAAAGTATGGAAGTATGGATTTCGACAAGTTTACAATTATGACTTCTTATATTTACGCGAACAATACACATGAAATGAAACTAATTTTACGAATTTCATCGCGTTAAATTTTGACTTTTGATTCCCAACGTTTCGGGTGCTTTACACTACGAACTTTAATGTCACACCTTTGACAAAATGCGGCACGAGCTGAGTGGGCGCGGCACAAAAACAACCGTATCTAAGCGAACAGACTATACATGAAGGAAAATTAAACTGAAGGAATCGTGCTTTGTGGCACCCCTTGGCGGAGGTCTATGTTCAGCAGCGGACTTGTGAAGGGCTGTAATGAATGAAAAAATACTAAAAATCACTTTCACTAACGCTGAACTTATGCGAACTATGATATAGATAAGAAGTATACAGTAGTGTGTTTTTACTGCGCCCCCCTGATATCGATAGACTTTTTTGTTTACGAATTAACGTGAATGGACTCTCCAATTGGTTTAATACTCAAAGCCCAGGTAGCAACGTTAAGAAAATATACGAAATATTAAAAATGACGTATCTTAGCAATGATTACTTGTTGATTGTCACGTTATTGTAAACTATAAAATAAAACTGCTATTATTTTTTTTTTCTTATATTGTTTATTTAAAACTAATGTATATGTTTTAAATCTTAACAAGCAATAGTAACAGAGGCCTGGCTGAAGTGGCAATGGGCCGGACATACAGCTCGAAAAACCAATAATGGATGGGTAGGAAAAGTGCTCGAGTGGCAGCCTCGTACCGGTAGGCGAAGTGTGTAGCGGCTCCCCACTAGACGGAGTGATGACCTGGTAAGACATGCCGGAAGTCGATGTACGCAGGTTGCTCAGAACCGTGCTTTGTGGCATTCCTTGTGGGAGGCCTATGTTTAGCAGTCGACTTGTGAAGGTCTGTAACGGTGATAAAGATAATGATCTAACACTAAGATCCAAAAGAGAGATAAAAGCGCAAAATACTGTACCTGGGATGTATATAGGTCGTTTCACTCAATACTCCGGAAAATTCCCTTGTGACTCATAATCTAGTTAACGCCGACTACTGAGGGGGTAAAATAAAACAAGAAACACAACTCAATGTTTATTATTAGTCGTGTCAAAACTTATTTAACAATCGTTCAATAATTTATGAAATGGTACAACACCGCGGCCAGAGGTGACGAGCGTCACCGGCAGTCTGCGGCCGCGGAGCGCGCATAACTTTACACATATAAAAATAGATTTACTTAACATCAGTTACTAGCCTAACAGGAGAATGTTTTATAAATGCATACATTAAATTTATGATATGAAACTACAGTTGGAGCACCATTGTAATTTTATACTAACAGCGTGGCGCCTCATGCGAGCTGATGGATCGATTATCTTCTAAATTTAAATACCGTGCTTTCGAAAGGGATTTTTTGGTCTATAAAAACATTCGCGGGAAGCGCCACAGCCTAGTAGTATTCAGATATACACATATAGATAGTTGTACAGACGCGTAGAATCGCGCCAGGTTAAAGCAAATTAAGAATATTCTATTTAGTAAAGGTACACGATTCAACTGCCACATTGTGGCAAGAGTTACATCACCGCAACTTATCGCACGATACAAATGCAATAGAGAACATTTTCAGGTTTGGCGTCCATGTGCGCCATTTAAAAACTTCATAACAAATTGTAGATTTTTACATAATTATGTTACACCATTAACTAAATAATACTATATACAACCACAATTTCGGCATTCATGAAGCTTATAAAATAAAATGTATAACACTTTTTATTACAGCTTTAATTTGTAGTGATATACACACACACATACACATACACATTAATACTCATACACGGCACTTTTCATTTACAGAGATATCACATTCACAGTGGAATGGTGTAGGTCGCGCTAGAAGCCGCGCGCGCGCCGCCGTCACACCTCCGTGTGCCGCGCCGCGCCCCCCGCACTCCCCGCGCCCTCCGCCTCCTCCGCCTCAGAGTCCTCGATTTCGCACAGGTTGGCCGACAGGTCGCTGCACGAGCCCGCGCCGCCCAGCAGCGAGTGCCGCTCCTCTGCTGAAAGTGAACACACTATTCTAAATACTACTTTATCGGGTGCGAGAGTTGGGATGCATCAGTGTGACGCGTACCGAGCATGGTGATGAGGCTGGCGGCGTCGGGTTCCCGCAGACCGCGTGCACGCAACGTGTCGTCGCTCGCCGCCGCCGGCAGGTACTCGTCCGGATGCAGTAGGTACGAACTCGCTGCAGACATGTTTCATATAATAAACAAATGCGTAACGATATGGAGCTTGCTTGATGTTTCGTCATCGATGATAAATATGATTTTAGTATTTTTAATTAAACGAAGCTGCCTGACAGATGCTAATGTCACTTTGTGAAATAATGTTGCCAGGTTCATTGTAATAGTGATGCGTTCAGTCAGTCAGTTAGTATACGATGACTCTATGATTATGACTAAAACTAAATTAACCTATCTTGATTGATATTGTGAAACTTGTTGACGAATATTATATCATTGAAATAAACAGAAAAAACATTGTTAGTAAGAATAATAATTTAATACTATTGTGACTCGAGAGGGCGCTCTGACTTTCGGAACGCACCCTGCGCCCGACGTGTCGGTCGCCATTTTGTGTGTCATTTGTCTTGTCGTTCATTCGGCTTCTAACCTCTGGTCTGATCGCTCGAATATTTTCTCTGCGCGCTGTTCTCCTGTTGCTTTCCTTTAGATTCTTGTTAGGCTTTTTGTTACATTGTGTTTGTGTTGTTTTTTATTGTTGAGTTATTGGGTTTTTATATTGTTTCGTACAAACGATATGGAACCTCAACCAAGCACGTCAAGTAAAAGCTCTTTTTCCCCAAAAAAGAAGAGATCATGGACTTTTCTTAGCGTTACCGAAAAGCTTATGGTACGCAATGTCCACAAATACGTATTTGAGCAGGAAACTGCTTCAGTATTACCTACTGAAGTACCGGAAAAATATGTGTTTCTAAGACAGCTAAAATTTCGGGAATCGGTATGACCACATGGTTCAGTGTATTAAAAAAATACAAATAAAACGAGCAATTTAAGTCTCCTGAAAAACTTGGACCGGAACATAATTTCAAGAATAAATTAGACGATTACACTTAGCGGCTATACGGCGAAAAGTACACCAATTTTTTACACTAACTTAACTTTAGTGTTATTTTTTTTACATCTTTGCGCGCGGCGCTATGTGTGCGCAAAGCTTGTTATAGATACAGTGTGCGTGACGACGACTGTAGCGTCACTATCACACAAATCAAAGCTGCATATTTACACACTCAGACACAACTAGCGTTTTTTTTTTTGAGGTTCTATTTGACTTTTTTCTATTGCGTAGACTTTCTTACTCATAATCTGTTTAAATTACAGATTCTTAAGGTTGTTAATGATGACCCAGATTTATCGAACTTCTCTTGGAGTATCTTGAGGAAAATTTGAAAACACTTAAATTTCAAATACGCCACAAAATCAAGAAAAAGCGTGCTAATAGATAAACGCGATATTGTTTTGTGGCGCCAGCGATACCTTCAAAAAATTAAAGATTATCGCAGGGAAGGAAGGTACATTTATTACCAAGATGAAACCTGGATCAACGAAGTTAATTAAAATTTTCTCTGTTTTATTTATCTATTATAGTGTAGGTATTGCATGCCACCGGTGAATTTAATGAGTAATTGATATTTTTCATTTTCTCGAAGGTCATAAACCGAAGAAGCAATGTATTGACCAGACTGTACAATCGTCCCGGCAGGCATTCTTAGAAGGGTTGACCACCGGTTTAAAAGGGCCTTCAGGAAAAGGCAAACGGCTCATTATTAGCCATATAGGCGGGGAAGGATTTTTAGAAGATAGCTTACTTGTGTTTGAGGCTAAAAAAGAAAAATTACCATCAAGAGATGAATGCTGAGTGTTTTGAGGAGTGGTTTAGGTTGAGTAGGGTTTTGATTTTTGTGATGGATAATGACCCCCCTATCACTCCAGAAAGTTAGAATCGCAGCCTACAATTAAACCAAGAATACAAGAGTGGATGGTGAGCAAAAATATCCCATTCGAGGCACAAATGGTAAAAGCTACTCTTATAGACATTGTACGGCAGCACAAACATGAACACTGCGACAAGTATGCCGTGGACGAGATGGCAGCGGAGTGTGGAGTCACTGTTTTATGTTTGACCCCTTACTATTGTGAGCTCAATCCCATTGAGCTGATTTGGGCGCAGGCCAAAGAGGATGTTCCAAGAAACAACAAGACCTTCAAAATAAAAGAAGTAAAAAAACTTTTCTAAAAGGACTAAATGAAGTAAGTGCGGAAAAATGGAATAGTTGCGTGACTCACATAATAAAAGAAAAAGACAAAATGTTTAATCTCGACCACATGATCGATCGTGTCTCAGACAAGTTTATAATAAATGTTACTGACTGTGACAGTGACAGTGATGATATTATGGGTATGTTCCGAAACACAACCCAGTACACTGTCGAATGCGAATGATGTCATGAATCGACGCTATACTGGTGATTCATTCCAAAACATAGGACAGTATATGACGTCATACATTTACGCCATATTGGAAAGGTGTTGGCGATTATTTTGTCATTTTGTGCTCCAAAAATCATTATATCTTCCTAATGAAGATACCAACAATTATTCTATAATTTTTTGTATTTGAATAAATAAAAACAAATTCTGGCATGCTTCATTCAGCGCACACAAAATTAATTTTTTTTATTGTGGCCGGATATACGGCGCAATATGGCGGCGGCACGCCAGTACAATATAGTGTCAATTGATGACGTCGTTTGCATTTGCCAGTGTACTGAGTTGTATTTCGGAACATACCCTATATCTGACGACGATGAATAAAAAAATGTAATACTTAAGCATAGTTTTTTTTTATGAAATCCCCATGACGACATACAGTATGGATAATTTTCGCCTGATGAACTGACAACATAGATGTACCTTAATTAAATCTAGACGTAATTTTTAAAACCTTCAGTTAAAAAAAATTACCATTCAGTCGCCTTCTTTATCAGTTAGTCATTTTGTTTTCCGTTCAATCATTTAGTCACAACACTATTTTTGATTAACATCAAAACATCAAAACCTGACAACCCAGTAATCGTCAGGCAGCTTCGTTTAATTAAAAAATACAACTTTAGGAAATGATTACGTAGGTCACTTGGAGTTAGGAAGATGTAGTAACATTTCGATAAATGTTGTATTCTTGATGAAATTTCTCAATATGAGTGATTTCCGAATTTATTCACATGAACTGCTAACCGAATTTATAGAATCTTTCCGAAATAACCCTTGTCTTTGGAAAATTAGAACGATTACAGAGACAAAAATATGAAGTTTCAAGCATACAATAATTTATTAGAATTTATACGTAAAGTGTTAAGAGATGGCACAATTGATAACGTCAAGAAAAAAATTAATTCATTAAGGGCTGGGTACCGTAAATAACAATTTTTTTTAACTGAACTAAAGTTTACGAAGGGTATGTTCCGAAATACAACGCAGTGTACTGTCCAATGTAAATGACGTCATGAATCGACGCTATACTGGTGATTCGTTCCAAAACATTGGACAGTATATGACGTCATACTTTTGCGCTATTTGGAAAAGTGTTGGCGATTATTTTGTCATTTTGTGCTCCAAAAATCATTATATCCTCCTAAAGGATATACCATCAATTATTCTATAATTTTTTTTGTATTTGAATAAATAGAAACAAATTCTGGCATGCTTCATTCGGCAAACACACAATTAAAAATTGTTTTATTATGGCCGGATATCCGACACAATATGGCGGCGGCACGCTAGTACAATAAAGTGTCAAATGATGACGTCATTTGCATTGGACAGTACACTGCGTTGTATTTCGGAACGTACCCAATATTCAAATGTCATAAACGCTCTCTTTTCGTAAGCCTTCTTTACCCACACTTTTCGAGTTCGTCTTTTTTTAGTTTTTAAAATGTAATACGATATAATTCCCAAATAACACAATGCTTCTTCTATCGACGACATCGCAGCACAGAGTGAGTAAGCTTCACGTGTATCACCGACGTCGAGCGGAGTAAGTTTGCGATCTTAAAAAACCGCGTACTTCAAGTTCGTACGTCTATCGCCCCTATTAGACTGGCAATTCAGGACAAATCAAATTTAAAATACGTATTGTAAAAATTTTAAGTGTGACAAAAACTGTGTCACAGCTGTGGATCTCAGGAGCTGGACGGGCGGGTGAGAGCTGACACGAAAAAATGCCACACAATTGTGTTTCCATTAACAACAGTTACCGTTTTCTAAAGTATATACGAAATAAAGTTCAAAACTCAAGGGAAATACTTCTTCATGTCACATTCTTCAAATAACGTTAATAAAGTAAGAATATAAATAATGATAGCTGATTCAAAGTGAAATTAAATGAAGATTATCCAAAATAACATTCGCGGTTTACAGAAGAAAGAACTAGAGTTCTCGCCCGTTTGCTGTCGAGTGTCGACTAAAGAAGTTACAAAGAATTGACCGTTCCTTATTAAGCAATATATTTATACCTTAGAAAACGTTTTGTAGTATATAAAGAAGAATACGCACCATCAGTAAAGCGCAACGTGTCTAGGTCTCGGTCCAGGTCGTCTGGCGCAGAGTCCGTGTCGGCGGCGAGTGTGGGCGAGGCGGGCGAGGAGGGGGAGTTGCGGGGTGCGGCGCGGGCGCGGGCCCGGCGCGGCGCACGCGCGCGTGCCGCTGGCGATGGCGGCGATGGCGGTGACGACGAGTCCGGGCGTTCCGAGCCCGCCACCTCGCTGATGCCGGGCAGCGCGCCGCCGCCGCACCAGTCCGAGCAGTCCCAGTGGTAGCCGCCTACCATGTGCGGCTCGCCCGCACCCGCCATCACAACCGGAGGCGCTCGCGGTTGCCGCTTGCAGCCTTTTAGATCTGAAACGAGCGATGATACTGTCCGGTTGGAATTTAAGGTTCCATGGCGAAGTAGATGCACTCGCTGTACGATCGTTAGAAGTTTCTTCAAAAAGGACGAAATTGTGTTTTTGAATCAGTGACCTATTACGTTTACGTCGTCGTCGTACGTACGAGCCCGTAGACGTATATGCTCTTGTAAAAACGATGGAAAAATCTGTGAAATGTATTCAGCTAGTGGAAGACTACTCTTAGGTATAGGTAAACAAAATCTTAATAATCTTACAGATAAAATCAACGCTGCAATTTATTATATAGACAATTTTCTTATCTGTATCTATTACAATTGACATTTTTCAATTTTGAAAATGTATGTAAATGGTGTGCTTCATGAATAAACCTATTACGACGCACTCAAAAGCAAATAAGGATTAAGTTAATATCGATCGACGTACCGTTGTAAATTTTATTGTCGACGAAAGTTTGCAAATGCATTTGCTCGGACCAAGGCTTGCGATCGGAGAGGTCGATATTGAGATTGCGCAGGTAGTCGGGCGGGATGCCCTCGAGCTCGTCGCCAGCCGAGCCGTAGCTGCGCAACGTGTCGATGTTGTTGAGCGGCGGCGGCTCGGCACAGGAGGGGGGGCGCTCGCGGCGCGACGCCTCCAGGTTGGATAGCTTGGAGGCGCGCGGCGGCGGCGCCTTGTCGAGCGCGCTGTTGAGCGGCGCGGCGGCCGGGGCGGGGCCGCGACCGCGCAGCTTGAGAGCGACGCACGCGGCGCACGCGGCCAGCAGCAGCAGTAGCGCCACGCCACCCGCGCACAGCGGCCAGCGCGCGCGAACCGCCCAGCGCCACGCTGACCGCACGTCGCGCACGCCGCCCGCGACCACCTCGCCTACCACCACCGCGTCCGAGTACAGTGGGTTGCCGCAGTTCATACCTGTCACAAGCGTTACAGTTTTCATCAGTGTTGGCGTAAACACTAACCATTCCCGCGAGTATGTGACCTCGTATTCTTTGATAGGAGATTTTCCGAGTATGAACAATCAATACAGGGTGGAGAATCTCGGATGCGTACTTCATAAAGGACATTTTAGGACTACTACTAGGAAGGACTACCCAAGATTTTATTTTATTTTCAGAATTTAACAACGCAAACAACAACTTCAAAATTTAAATAAATTCGTTTTTAATTCGTATAGATAATTCAGTAAGATAACATACCTACTATCATAATTAGTTTTAACAAATTTTATTGGACAGAGCTCCCATGGCGCAAGAAAACGATTCTTTGAAATCTATCTCCTACGTAACCCAATAAATAACCCAGGCCAATTTACATAATTTTTTAGGAAATATTTGTAGCTCAACGCAAATAAAGTTTGTAAACAATAAAATACTGAATTTGTTTTTTTTTCTTTCACTATCTAACCAATTCGCTAATTATAAATCGCTAATAAATTATAATAACTATTAAAATTCATTTTTATTTGAATTGATTAGATGAGTTGATTAATTTACATCTGCGCAATATCACACCATTTTATTGAATCTTTTGTTGAAATAAAGATCTTTTACTCCGGTCCATTTATTATAAATTTATAAAATCTACATCTACACCGGCCCTATTTAATCATTGGAAACATTTCCCGTTGTTGCCACGCTTGGCATGCGGGTTTGCAACCGCAGTTTTTATTATCTAGTTTTTATAAGGAAACCGGCGCTACCTATATCCTAATTTGTTTCCACCTGTCGCGTCTTACGACACCCATAGGGCGATAAAATGTCGTGGATATCTTACACCGCTACTACAAAAATAGCAATATACTTGCTCACATTTATGTTGTTACGTATTTAAAGGTTTCGTAGCATGTATTTTCTATTTTCCTCGTTAGTGCATTCATTACATATCTATCGTTTTTTAAAATTATTTTAATCAATAGTTGTGTTGATGCTGTCGGAAATTGAAAATAACTAATTAACTTACGTAAAATGTGTCTTAAAACTAAACTGACTTATATTAAACCTAAGTAACCCACCACCTCCCATGGCCCCACCGACCCTCAGGTCATACGGGCCTAATCTCGGGAGATGCGCGCGGTACTAGCACCTTGCTCTTTCCCGCGCGCACTTTCTTGACTCCCTACAAATATTTATTCTGTTCCTTGTCCCAGTTTAACGTCATTCTCCCCCTTCTGGGGCTGACGGCACAATAACGCCTACGTCGTCGGGCCTTCCTACCAGCATCCTATCTTGCCTTATCCTGCGATCGTGCCACCTATGCGCAAACTCACGCAACAACCCGTAGTTCACCCCATCGCTGACGAGATCCGAGTAGTAAATCGGTCCCTGAACCGTTCGAACCAGCCCATCCAACATTTTCGCTCTTAGATCGTCATACAGAGGACATTCCCATAGGACATGGTGAACATCCTCCTCTGCCGTACCACACTCACACATACTGGTTTCACACAGTCGCATGTCATGCAGCCTCTTCCGAAAACATCCATGTCCAGTGAGAATCTGGGATGTTTGATAGTCCGGTGAGACCCAGGTATACCTGAGTCTCAAAACCACCTCCGGGAAAAATCGATTTAACTCACGTCCTTTCGTTTCGTTCTTCCATCGATTCTGCCATACGCCAATCACCTCAGTCCAGATATCGCGCTTTCGTCTGCTCAACTGCTCTCTGGGCGCGGTCAAGCGTTCCAAACCCATCCTACCAGCACGGATGACCTCCAGGTCAGCAGCACCGGTAAGGCCGCCGTGCTAGTGGACCGGTACGCCTTGGTCAACAAGACAAGTGCAGATCGTTGCGATCTCAGTAGTACGCTACGGACTGTGTACATGTTCACCCGCTCGTACCAGCACTCTGCTGCATACGTGAGCGTGGACACAAACACTCCTCTGTAAATAATTTTTAAACTCGGGTATCGCATACCCCATGACGATGTCGATACGCGAGTCATTTTGCCAAATCCCTTAGTCGCTCTTTCAGAGATATCAGAAGCGTGTTGCACAAATGATAATCCTGAGTCCAAAACCACGCCTAGTACCTTAGCGATAGTCACAGACTTGATAGATTCCCCACCAAGTTTAATGACGAGGAACGCTGAAGTTTCCCTCTAACAGTCATGGTGGTAGACTTTGAGGAGGAGAACTTCAGTCGATTCCTCAGCCCCCACTCCCGTACAAGGTCCAGAGTGACCCGGGCCCTGGATTCAATACCTGCTCTCGTTTCCGATTCAACCAAGATTGTGACATCATCGGCATAGGCAGTCATGGCAACTCCCTCAGGCAGAGGGAGTCGAAGCAAATCATCCATCAGCACGTTCCACAGTGTTGGGCCCAGCACGGAGCCTTGAGGACATCCCATGGTCGAGGTCTTCCACTCTACCCGGTCCCCGATGTAGAGGCCCACACGCCTGGAGGTGAAGTAGTCCACCAACATTTTATAAATGTTAGGTGGACATCCACCCCTCTTAGCTTTGACCATCATCATCGGCCACCAGGCATTGTCGAAGGCACCGGAAATATCCAAAAAGATAGCTTGCACGTAGCATGCCCGAGAATACTTTGCCGTGCTGAGCAATACTCGCAGCGCTGTTACCGTAGATCGCCTCGGAAAAAATCCGTGCTGGTGCTGCATGCAAGCGAATGCAATCCCATTGATCACATTCGCAGGCGGACGCACCCTCCCGCTGGCCAACATGTATGCCAGGCCTCAAGGGTCCTCATTGCCAGTATTGGCGACCCTCGTGTGATGCGACTGCTGCACCTCCACCATCATCTTTCTATATCTCGCACGCACGCTATGAAAAGCCATTCTGGCTATCTCCTCTGATCTACCTCCCAGACGCCTTTTACTCTGCCATACACGCCTGAGCTTGCATTGCAGCTTCCGAGTTTTATCCAGTTCAGAATTCCACCATTCATACCCCGCGGAACCCCTAGGGCGACGCTCCCCTAGGCCTTCCTCCGCGGAGCGGATGATGACCCCTGAGAACTCCTCCGCCAGGAGGGCCGCGGGTTTGTCCACATGCAACCATCCCATTCTTAATTTGATGATCGCCCGGAACCTGTCCCAATCCACCCCCCCGGTCACGAAAACGTGGGGGATCCCTGACGGGTGCAGCGCAAGTGGTCGGCCTGCTGGTAGTGGCCGTGTATGTAATTACATTATGATCGCTGGCGCAGATTCCCTCATGCACTCGCCACTCGGCAATGTATAATGGACCTCACATTATCGACTGGGGACATATATATAATATGTCCCCAGTCGATAATGTGAGGTCCACATTAGACTCTCCACCTGGCCCAGAGAAGGTATAGGGCTGGTCAGGCTGGTTCGCCAATGTTAGTGCCTGTGAAAGTATGAACGCCTCCACTTGCTGCCTCCGGTGTTCTGCAGTATGTCCGCGTCCCACGTAGTGTCGGCGATTGCAGTGCCAAAGTGGCGAGTGCGCATTTGCGTCGAGGCCGACGATGATCCTTCTGCCCTTTAGGCAACTCAGGGTGCCCTCCAAGTGGTGCAGGTGGTCATCGATGGTGTCACTGTATTTAAAGTACGCTGACACCACATAGAGGTCCCATCGGTTTACGTGGCACACCACACAAAACTCGTTGCTGAGGTGGCTCAGCAAAGCTACTCCAATTGTTGGGTCGGCAAGATAGATGCCAGCCCACGGGTGACCACCCACCTGGACGATTCCTGCAGCCTGGGAGTACTGTTCTTGTACAATAACAATGTCCAGGTGCAGTTCACGCGCCAGAATAGGCAACTCAGCCGTGGCAAGCTCCCCCCCGACCCAAGTTAATCTGCCCCATTTTAATAGTTTGTTCTTTTAAGTAGCTGGACATGCCGTTATCCCACGGTGGCCACGGAGCGTTGCTCCGCATACAATCTTGCTGGGCAGTTCCTCGCCATGGTCACGTGCGTACCAGAGTCGGGCCGGCCAAATCTCTTGCAGGTAGCGCATTTTTCTTCTTTTGCTTGGCAGGCCCCACGCTCGTGTCCCGTCTCCCCAAACTTGCCACACACAATTTCCTTTGACCTGCAGTACTTTGATGGATGCCCGTATTGCTGGCACCTCTGGTAGCACGTGACATCTACGTAGTCACAGGGCTCCACCACGTACCTGCCAATGTCGAGGCGATTGTGCCCCACCAGCACGTCCCTTAATGCTGCCGAGCACTGAAGTATGACAGTGGTGCGCCTGCTTCCTCTCCATGATTTCTTGAAGGCGACCTTGCACTCTTCCTTCATCTTCTTCTCACTCCAGCCACAAGCAGCAAGATTTTGCTCGTAGAGGCCGCTTAATACCTCCTCATTCTTGGGGTCCTCCTCGAAACCCCTGAGGGCAACCAGGGGAAGGCGCTGCCTGGGCTTAGACACCCTCAGTGATGGAGGGGCTACAGTTTTTAATTCCTCAGCTGCCTCCTGGGACGTGGTCTGGACCACAACACCTGCATTCCCCACCTTTCTCAACCGGTCTCTTTGCAGACCGCTGGTCTTCGGGTTCACTGCCTTCTTCAATTCTGGTTTTTTTGATTGGCCCCTCAGCTTCAGCCGGGTAGAAGGCAACCACCGGGCCCTTGCTGACAGGCATCAGCACCTGGTCTGCTCCTTTAGGTAGCCTCAGTGCAGCCGAGTACGAGCGCTGCGGTGTCGGGTCCGTCGTGTGGCAGGGAACTGTTCCGGCCTCGACCTGCGCCAGTCTCCCTTCTGCGACGAGCTTCTCCTTCTCCGCTCTTAGTCTGGCCAGCTCCAGTTCAGATATGTGGAACTCCATGGTTGCCACCATGGCGATAAGGTCATGGCCGTACGATGAAACCTTGTTCACCTCCGCCTTGTTCAGCTTGGAGCCGGGTCCCGTAATTATGGACATTATTCCTCTCACCGCCTCCCGCACCTGGACTTCCAGCTTCGAAGCAGTGGTAGCTTTGAAGCTCCCCCTCACACCCCGAGTTACCTCCCTGGAGCAGTACCTTCCTCTGTTTCGGGAGCAGATTCCTCAATATTCCTCGTCAGAAGCCCTGCCACCGGTGCCACACTTCGGCGCGACTCAGTGCGCTTGCCCACCCTTGGTCGCTGGGAAGACGCCTGCATTTCTTCCGGCGAAGCCAGTGGCCGCTTCTCCGGCGCCACTGGCGGTGGGGGAGGCACCGCAACCGGCCGGCCGATTGGTCCCGGCGGGGTCCTGGCCAAGGACTTCCTGGGCGTAAAGCCCTCGTCGTCATCCGCCATTTTAATTTAAGACAGGTACACTAAATATGTTATAACGGAACGCAACCTATCGAGAATTATGACAGGTCACCCTGTCAATGTCACTGTCAATGAGATGTCACCCACGATGACAGCTGCCAACGTCACTGTCAGTGTCTTATACAATGACAGCTGTCAGTGTCAAACAACACCGGCACAATCTAACCTATAATCCAATTCAATTCTTATAATTTAATCAACACTAATTAAAATAAAAGTACTTACAGTTTAAAAACCAAAACGAACACAGAATAATACACTCAGCAATAGAATAAATATACTTAACCTAAAGCTACCACGCGGTAACCGCGTGGTCTAACCTAACCTAACACGTGTTTACAACGACTAAAAATGTTTAAAATGTTTAAAACGATTACACACACTGCACAGTTTAATTAAAAATACAAAATAAAGTAATAACCTAAGTAACCATACACGAGATAAAATTCGTAAAAGTAGTACACACAAAGAAGACGACGGTGGGCAGCGAGGTTGCGGGGAGCGACGGTAACATAGGCCATACACCCGCAGCCATCGGCACATATCAAATAATTAATCTTTCTTTATTGTAATCCACATCGAATAAACCTATTGATCATTATACTGTTCACATTTATTTGTGTGCTCTAACCCGTAGGTAAATTATGAAATTATTATTTTAATTTGTTATCAGGAGTATGTTGCTGCTTAGATCTTGTTTTATTTACCTTTGTCATCTCTTACTTTACGTTTAATATGGCATTACGATATTATCAAATTTTGATAAGCTAGAGTGATCTTTTTTACTCAAAGCTAATTTTTGATTCTTACAGACGTACATCGGGAAACGGGAAAAGTCACAGGTAAATTATAATCCTGCGCAGTAAACACAAAGGAACATAATTTATTTAGTTTGCAGCAAATAGATGTTTTTAACCACCAAAAATGTAATTATATTTAGTGACACAAAACAGGGTGAGGCAGTTACCGGTCTTGTCCGGCGGACAGAGGCAGCGGAAGGAGCCCGGCTCGTTGAGGCAGGTGGCTCCGTTGAGGCAGGGCTCACCCGCGCACTCGTCGACGTCGTGTTCGCAGCGCGGGCCGTAGTACCCACGGCAACGACACGAGGGCCCGCGCTCGCCCTCCTCGCAGGTGCCGCCGTGCGCGCACACGCCGGCCGCACACCAGCGCCCGCGCTCGCACCGCTCGCCGGACAGGCCCGCCGCACACTCGCAGCGGAAGCCGCCGCGCTCCGGCGAGCAGCGCCCGCCATGCAGGCAGGGCTGCGACGCACACGGGTCCGTGTCCAGCTCGCACAGGCGGCCGGCGAAGCGCGCGTGGCACGTGCACTGGAACGCGTCGCCGCCCTCCAGCAGCGTCAGCAGCTCGCGGCACGTGCCACCGTGCAGGCACGGGTACGCGGCGCAGGCACCGGGCGGCGGCAGCGCGGGGCACTCGGCCGCCACGCGCACGCGCACGCGTCGCGCCAGTTGCACGCGCCCATCCGCTGACGTGTCGCCCTCCACCAGCGGCACCTCGCTCGTACCGATCTTCACGTCACTCATGCACCCGTGAAAACCGTATGTTACCTATGTAAATGATGTATTTCTAGTTTTAGTTTAAGCATTTCTATGGGCGTGGTGCGATTGAATGCTATCAGATTTATTAAATTACTGTCATTATAGACTATTTTTTACTGATGTTTATGTATTATTGTAAAATATTGTTATATGACAGCACTATTTGGATAAGTTGTTGTTAAAAAATTTATTGGTATCGAAAACTCCTGAGAAACACCTAGTAAGATTAGGTTAAAGACATTTATTTATCGCATTAAAATAGTGTTTGACCGAAGGTTCTATTACCGAGACCGAAACCGATTGTTCAACGTAAATTTGCAAGTTTGCATCATCGATAAAAAATGACGTTGGGCGTTTTTTGTATCGCATTGTTTTCTGACCAACATAGTTTGCTTAAGGGTCGTGAAATAATTTGCATTGTGTGAAAAAAAAAACTATATATATATATATATATATATATATATATATATACTATATATTTCTGTATCTCATTTCTTTAACCACACCTTCACCTACCAAGCATGAGCATGTCCAAGCTCATACAACGATAATTCGGCTATCGTCACAACTCTCGGCTGAAAACGGAGCCAAAGCCTTAGGGACCTTAAGGAATTCAGTTCTAGATTGGTTGAAATCAATAATTCAATAATAGTGGATTTAAAACTTTTCAATTAAAGGTTTATATTATAGCTAATTTTTTGGCGTTGGATTTCAAATTCTCCAATATTAACAACTTGGTAAGTTACATTTAAATATGATTTGAGAATTTTTAGTGAATTTCTATCGATACACATATTTTTAAGTTCAAGTAGCAGTTTGTGGTTCACCGTGTCAAAGGCTTTTTTATGGACGATAAATCACGCATAATGTTTCCAGCAAATAATTCACTGTATGTATAGTCTTTAATATTTTTATGTTCAGACGTGCAGGTTTACGACGTTTTCTATCACCGCCGAGCACGTCGTAAAGCAGTTGTAACTTAAGAGCTAAGCTCGCTATAAATATTTCGTGTTACGATCGTTTTCATTTTCTAGGTTCATGTTTAGATATTGAGATATAGGTTTTAGTTAGAGGCAGAGGAGCAGTGACAAAGTAAACGCGGAGACGAACCTGCTCGGGTGCAGTTGCGTAGGCGTGTCGCAGCAGGGCGGCGCCTAGCAGCAGGCGGGCGGCGTGCGCGTCCAGTAGTTGGTGGCGCGGAGGCGCCTGTGCGCGCGCCGAGCGCCCGTCCACCGTAAGCCACACGCCGGCACCGCGCCGCTCCAGCCGCGCCGCGTGCCACACGCCGTCCGCCACGCGCCCACCCGCGCGCAGCGCCACCTCTCCGCCGCCTAGCTCCATGCGGAACTGCACGTGTCCCTCCGCCAGCTCCAGCACCGCGTAGTCCACGCGCCCCGCCACGTGCAGCAGCACGCCGCGCGAGCGCCGCGTACGGAACCGCAGCGACACCGTCAGCACATCCTCCGGCGTCCGCTCGCCGTCCACCACGCCGCCGTCGAGCCGGTACGCCAGGTAACCGTCGCCTGGGAAGTAGGCGACGGCGGCCGGCGGGCGGCACTCCTCACTCCCGTCCGCATCCGCATCGTTCTCGCAGCAGCGATAGCCGGGCAGTTCGGGCACGAGCTCGCAACGCGCATCGCCACAGCTCGCGCAGGCGGGTATCAGGCGCTCGCATCGCTCGCCATCGTAGCCCGGCACGCACGCGCATTCAGCGCGCAGTCGGAACGGCGCCACGACCAGCGAGAACACGTCGCTGGCGACAGCGCGCGCGCCAGAGGCTCGCAGCTGCACGCGCTCGGCGCACGCGCCGTGCTCGCAACCACCACACGGCGCGCGCACCAGCTCCTCCACCACGAGGCGCGCGCCCTCCTCCAGGCGCTCGAGGTGCGCGTGCAGGCCGCGGCGCAGCGCGTCCGCGGGCAGGAAACCGCCGCCATCGCCCGCGCGCACTGCGAACGCCACATCCAGGTCTTGCGCCACCTGGCGGGCGATGCGACGAGGTCGCTCCGGTTCCGCTTCGAAGTCATTGTCGGAAGACTGAACTCCGATGATCACTACGTCCGTCTGTCGGCACCGAGTCGCTTCGTGGACCGCGCGAATGAATCCCTTTCGATGACTGAGAACAAAGTCGCGACCGGTCACTTCCCTGAAGCGGACGACGATCGCCTGCATGAGCATCTCGTCCGAGATTAGCACCACGGCGACGTGGACTATGGCAAAGCTAACGAATTTGCCATCATCGACGGTCACGTTGAGGCGGTAGTCCCCGACGTCTATTCGAGGTGCGGCACGCAGTGTACCTGCTGTGGCGTCGATTTCGAAAAGATCGGTAGACGGATAAGGCGCACCATCTACGGGAGCGAGCGCGTAAGTAAAAGTATCGTAAGCGTCTCGGTCCGAAGCGAACACGTGTCCTATTACGCCACCAGGAAATTCATCGAGGTACGAGTTTATGACTATTTCAAGCGGCGTTACGACCGGCGGATGATGGGATTCTTCGATAACCTTGATATAAACCCATGCGTCGGAAAACAGAGGCGGGATTCCATTGTCGAATACGCGCACTTGTAGCACATATTGATCCCTAATGCGATGATTGAATCGAGTAGCAGATCGCAGATATCCGTCCTGCTCCAAGCGGAACGCGCCCATCTCGTTACCCGATTGAAAGTCGAAAACGAAGGGGGCCGCATTCGGCGCGGCGTCCGCATCCTCGACGACAAATTTTAAAATAGTGTGGCCGAGAGGCTTATCCTCCTGAATGATCGCAGTGTAGTTGGTCTGTGCGAAAAGCGGCGGGTTATCGTTGCAGTCGAGCACCTCGATGTTGAGAAAGGCGGAGGCCTCGAGCGCCGGCAGGCCGCGGTCGCGCGCGCGCAGCTCCAACACGTAGGCGGGCGTCGCTTCACGGTCCAGCGGCGCCGCCACCGACACGTAGCCGGTGTCGGCGTCCACTGCGAAACGGCCGTCACGGTCGCCGCGCGCGATCACGTACGTCACGCGCCCGTTGGCGCCCGCGTCCGCGTCGTCAGCGATCACTTGCAGCACGCGCGTGCCTACCGCCGCGTCCTCACGCACGCGTGCCCCGTACGACGTCTGCGAGAACACCGGCGCGTTGTCGTTGCCGTCTAGCACGGTGATATTTATGGTGGCATGGTCACTAAGCGGCGGGGTCCCCCCGTCAAGGGCCTGCACCGTCAAGAAATATTGCTTCCTGCGCTCGAAATCGAGAGGGCGCGCTACCGTCAAGGCGCCGTTCGTGCGGTCGACGGCGAAGTCTTCGCGGTCGTCACCGGCGACGAGCGAGTAGAAGACGTCCGCGTTGACGCCAGTGTCGCGCGACGTGGCGCGCACGTGCATCACCTCGGTGCCGACCGCATCCATCTCGGGCACGGCGGCGTGGTACTGCTTGAATTCGAACTCGGGCGGGTTGTCGTTAACGTCAGCGACGGTGAGGCGTACGGTGGCGGTGGCGGAGCGCGACGACGTGCCCGAGTCACTCGCGCGCACGCGTAGGAGATGCTCGGCCTGCGTCTCGCGGTCCAACGCCGCGCGCAGCGTGATGATGCCACTGTCGCCCATCAGTTCGAATGCCTCGTTACCCTCTTCTACGAAAGAGTAGCGGACGAGGCTATTTTCACCGAGGTCTGCGTCTGTAGCGTGCACCTAAAAAGTGAAAAGATAATTGTGAACACGGATCAGCACAAAATATATGATGTGAAAAATATAAAATAAATAAAGTGAAAAGTGTAGTGCGAAACTTACTTTTACGACGAGAGAACCGATGTCGGCGTCTTCAGGCAGAGTCACACTGTAAACTTCCGCGGAGAAACGAGGCGGGTTGTCGTTGATGTCGTCGAGTGATACCTCTAGTTCGGTGCTACACTCCCACTTTGGGCGGTCTCGATCTTGTGCATGCGCCACCAATTTGTACTCAGATATTGTTTCACGATCTAACTCTTCAGCCACCGTGATCACTCCGGTTTCCTTAATGAGATACGTTTATAAAATTAATATCTATTTCTCATTTTATTGTTACGTAATTTGGTTTATAAATTCTTAAAAATGTTAATATTTTAAAAAGCATGTGTGCAGTTCAGTTCTATAGAAGTGAAACCCTCAAATGAAACGAAATGAAATTTAAAATAAAAATATTTCACAGCAAATGATTTATGAAATTTGATAATTTTCAACCACAAGTGCGGCATAAAATATTATAAGATAAAAGTTTAATTTTATAGCAAATAACTGTAAGAATAATTATTTTTAGCCATGTAGAGCCTAAAGTTTAGTATTTAAAGAATATTTTCTTTCGACTCACATTACTTTATAAGGGCGACGCCTATTTCATTCTATAGGTAAACATTTTATCGTACAAAAATTAAGGTAGAAGCGCAGGCGTGCGTTGTGCGGCTCATCGTCGTCGCGTACCTTGTGTATAGCGAAGTGCGTCGCGTTGTCGCCGGTGAGGTAGAAGCGCAGGCGCGCGTTATGCGGCTCGTCGTCATCACGCACGCACAGCGCCGCCACGCGTGATCCGTGTTCTGCGTTCTCTGCGAGCTGCGTACGGATGCGGTACTGCGTGCAGTATGGCGGGTTGTCTGCGATATACACGATATACGGTACACGATACATAAGTTAGGTACTGATTAGGAATTAACAAACCTTTAAAGAAGCTATAACAACAAAATCATTATATTAATTAGACATCTGATGCTGCGATTGTCAATTTAGCGAAGAGGCGATCGAGTTTCTTTTTTATAGAAATGGGTGATAAACGAGCACAGTCCACCTGATGGTAAATATGGATGTTATGGCCCATATACAGGCTGTTAGTGTAAACACCGTTATCCTTGAAACCAGTGGTTTGGTTTCACTTATAGAACGTAAATTCAATGTATTTAAAAAAAATGCGCTATTTTCTTTCACAAAATTTAAAAAATTTCTGTCCGACACCGTCCGTAAATTCATGGATACCCTATGCGCCTGAGTGACGTAATCACTGTGAAGATCACCGCTCGCGCTAGCTACCTACACAACATTCCAATAAAAGCACAATAGGTACACATAACCTGTGATGTAACTTTTCCTTTATACTTTTATCCTGGCTTAGGACAGGCAAAAATTGAGGAATTAAGGAAAAATTGAGATTTTAATAAAAAAAATGTTGATATTTTTCATTGAATTTACGTTCTATAAGTGAAACCAAACCACTGGTTTCAAGGATAACGGTGTTTACACTAACACCCTGTATATCTACAGTTATCCTCGATTAAGAATAAAATGCAGGTGCGTTGTCATTCCTGAAGACTAAGATGGAATGCCTCGTTTCCGGTTAAAAGCGTATTCGTTTGTACACTTGTTTGGTCTTGTGGTCTGATGATGTATAATTTAAACATAATCTTGAGAAAAAAACAAATATTTATTGAGATTTCACAATATACAAATCTTTGTAAAAATATAAGGTTGAGTCACGCGACCGTATTGGTAGGCGAACTCCAAAGCACTAAAAAAGCGGTCTAGGGGCGAATCGAAAGGTCCACACGACTAACTTCCCAGTGGAAAGAATAAAAAAATATCATTTTTAATACTTTATACCATTTTTCATTCTGCACAAAAAACGACTTGACCTATTTTGCTCAAAATTTAATGAGGCCTGAGTTACATAATTATGCGTTAAATGGAGCTGGTACCATGTCAATATCACTCTTTGTTCTCGAGATACACGAGGCGAAAATTGAATCCGAACATCCATACACACGTACATGTGCACACGGAAGTCCTCTTAAAAACCATACTATCCAACTCTTGAAACGTGGAGATATGTTAAATTTTCCAATTTGCAAAATCGGACCCATTACAATAACATTCCACTGTGAAGTTAAAAATATAGAATATTAATAAATGAGGTCAGTAGCGCATAGTGTTTAATTAGCTTATTACTGAACCGACGCAGGAGAATGCACGGTGTTGCACCGTACAACACCCATCAAATGAAACATAGCAGCCTGAAGCCGCTACTTCACGTTAATATTCTGTGAGCGTCCTTCCCCGCTCGAGTCGACTCATTCGAGCTGCAAACCATACTATAGCTGCAGCGTGGCTCTAAAACGATTTACGAAATGACGTTAAAATTTAGACATTTACGAGTCCTTCTTATTTAGACGCGAGTGAAACAAAGGTACCATTGACGTCGAGCACGGTGAGCAGTACGCGCGTGTAGGCGGTGAACTTGCCGTCGGTGGCGGCGACGGTGAGGTTGTAGCGCGGCGTGTGCTCGCGGTCGAGCGCGCGCGCCACGAACAGCTCGGCGGCGGGCGAGGGGGAGAGTGAGGCGGCCCGCAGCTGGAAGCGCGCGGTGGGGTCGCCGGCCGCCACGAAGTAGGCGAGCGGCGCGGCTGCCACGTCCGCGTCCGCCACGTGCAGCCGCGCCGCCACCGTGCCCGCCGCCGCGTCCTCGCGCACCTACGCACGCACACAACACACGCTTTTTATATTTTTAACATTACCCAGAGTACTACACACAAAGAGTCACATTCAGTAAAAAAAACTTCGTACATCTAGTTAAAATTCTCTCGTCGACTACCTCAGCAGCTCAAAGGACATTCAGTCACACATATGATTATTGTCACAATGTTTATTTTATTTTATACTTTTTATACAACACGTAACATAATTAACGCACTTTGAGAAAGTATTTTGTTCAGAATCGTTTACTGAATCGATTCCTATCATTTTTAATATAGGTAATTTTTATCCCAAAAATAATTAAAATTACGTAAATTACAGTCACACTAAATCTGTACAGTCAAAACAAACTGAAATGGACCGTAACTTAAGGTAATAAGACTTATAAGGGTGCAGTTTTATTTGTATTATTACTAATTCTGTCATTCAATAAAAATAAAGAAAAATGAACTTTATTTCAAGCACGTTAAAGTTTGCGTTCGTGGATTTGTACTTTGACCACAACATTCTTGTGGAATTAGTATACTAATTTGATAAATAATCAGTGCATAAAAATGTTTTACTAAAAATTCAGTTTATGTATTATGATTATAACATAATATACTAATTGGGGTGTCTGACGGTGTGCGTTAATTACGTTACGTATTGTATATTAAAATATTACTTATTAAAATAACATCTTTAACTTTTTTCATACTTTTTGTTTACATGACATTGAAATATACTACAAAAAAGAAACTAAAACTAATAACTTGATTATTATATATTCTACACACAAATGAAAATGTTATTAAAATATCATATTATATATTTAATAGAAAACATTTTAATGTATATATATATATATATATATATATATATATATATATATATATATATATATATATATAATTTTTTATAAAAAAATATACCGAGCAAAGCTCGGTCATCCAGGTACTACACATACTTAAATGTCTTTGACGACAAGTGACATAATTATCCAATTTGTTTGTGTTTCTTTGCAATTTTTTTATACTTGCATAGTGTATTTTATATTACTGTATACTCATTTCAGAGGAAATACGGCAACCGAATATGGAAACCAACACGAATCGGAGGCCATACAAGAATTTTCTACAACTACCAATCTAAAAGTTTCGGTGCGTGGGCTGTTTATTAGGCCATGAGACCGATATATCAAAACGTAACTTATAACGTTATGTTATCAAATATCATATCATATCGATAAACCTAAGTGCAAAACCGTTATCGCATATCCAACCAAAACCATATACCTAACCAACGTAAGAAAACGAAACCGAAACGCATAACGCAAACTGTGGAACAATATCCCAAAACTGAAAACGGCCCACTAACCGATGATCTTCGTTGATATTCATCGCTTCTCGTTCTTGCAACGATAGTTTAAATAAGTATAGAAAGAGATGAAGCGAATATTGAATATTGTGAATATACATGGCAGGGCGCGGACCGCAAACTCGAAAGGTCGTGGGTTCGAATCCACCATTCGATTACTGTCGTGAACCACTCCTAACATAAGCATTTTCAGCTTACCAGGAGGGGTTAAAGGGAATATTAGTAATGTTAATTAATAGGATTACTAATATTTTTTTTACAAAAAAAAAAAAAGAATATGGATATCGTTGCGATGTTTTGGTAGTTATCATACAACGGTGCACATTGCGAAATATAATATATAGCTAAAGCAATAAGGTCAAATTTTAAATAGTTAAATTTGCCTAAATTTTAAGTTTGTGTATTTGTGAGAGTTATCAAATTTCAAATGATCTTCAGCTCATTAGGCACAAGGCCTAGATTTGTAAAACGTAAAACACAAACACCGGAACGATATGCCAACACGGTCCACGAACTAAACCGATGCGATGTCCTTCATTGATATTCATTGTTTCTTGTTCTTGTGACGGTATCATAAATTCGTATAGAAAGAGAGGATTTCTGTTTTGGTAATTTTAGTTTCACACGATACGTAATGCACACCTGGATATAATTACCTAAAGCAAAAAGGTCGAATTCCAAATGGTTAAAATTGCCTAATTTTTAAGTTTGTGTAGTTGTGAGAGTTGTCAAATTTAAATGATTTTTAGGACAATAGACAAAAGACTTGCATTTGTATGATCATATTATATTTGGTTTAGGACACTTTATGTTTATGTTTTTTATATTTTGGATGGAAAGATTAGAATTTGCTTTTTTCTAGAACGCAACAATTACGCACTTGGTCTTGGTAGCTCGTGCTCGTGCCATTCGCTAAAATACCTGATAACATCCATTAAGGGGAAATATAACCTCAAATGGCTTAGCAAGATCCTCCGTTATGCCGAAAGTATTGCAGCATTAATTTTGAAATAAATATATGGTAAAGTTGAGGATTAATGTTAAGGTTTATGTTAGACGAAAACACGAATTCCTCCCTAAAATATAAAAGAATGAAACTTTGCATACTAACTGAACTAACCATAAAGCAGTGCTTATGTTATTTACTTTTTTTAAAATATCATTATTTTCACTGTAAAAAGAAATTACCTAAACTATCGGCGCGTAAGCTTGGTTCCCAGGAACCAAGTTCCAAGGTTATATTTCCCCTTAAGTTATTAATTTTTGATGTTGCGTTTGTGCATTTATTTGCAATATTTGGTGTATTTTGTGCATTAGGTAGTTGTAATTCAGAAAATTATGTGTAAAGTGTAAATATAATATAGCATAGTATAGTTTAAGTTGATTTAGACTCTTAACCATTTTTGAATGTAGACTTTCAAAATGTCGCGTAAGGCTAGTGAAATATGGTCTCACTTCGATAAAAAGACAATTCCGACCACTTCTTCCACCGGAGGCGAATTAGCGGCTAGTGCAAATCAGGTAAACCTGCGGTTAATACAGTTGAATTTTGAAATTGAATTCAGAATTCGAATTTAAAACTTTTCTGCTAGTTCTAAGCCTAGTACATACCACCTTGAGAGTAAATCAATGTTTGTTCGATAAAATATCTTTATCTATACAACATAGTAGATAGCGCTATTACTGAAGTGCGCTCAGCTCAATCTTACTAAAATAAATACGTGTATCTTGGTAACTGTCTTAAATAAAATTAATATAAGATTAGTTTTTGAACAAAAGACCGTTGTAATCTTGTAATTGTACTACTATATACTTTACGGTATGTAATGCCCTACGTTTGCCACTTGAATGATCGACCGAATGCCCAGTACGTACGTAGTATTTACACCCACCACTTTTCGTCATACAAAAAGATTGCGGATCGGCATTTCAATCAAAGCCCTCCCGAAAAAAGTTTCACTTAAAAAAAACTGTGGTTGCCAACCCGCTTGCCAAGCGCGGCAACTATGGCAAATATTCCACCTATGATACAATCTATGAAGATGCCTATGTGCTCAGCAGTGTACTTTAATAAGCTGTAACAGTGACGGTATAATTTATTACTGCATAACATTGAATATACAAAAATTATATATTAACATACATGTTTAAATATTACATCTAAGATAACAATAACATTAGAACCTCTGAATTCTAATCTAGAATAATCTATGTAATTCATAAAATACATGTTGCACTGGTAGTACAGTTTGCGGTTATGGTTCGGTTGTCGTTTGCACATTCAGTAGCAAACCATTGCTGTTGATATCGATATCTGAAAACTAGATATCGGTTATGTAACCGTTGCAGATAAAAACTGAAAACGCCCATGCTTACTGTTTATTGATTAAGATTTCCGACACTATTCCGATGATATCCCGGACGTCAGTCTAAGCGAGATTAGAATGGCTCTCCAGCCCCTTAAAAACGGCAGGGCCCCAGGCGAGGATGGAATTACAGCGGAGCTTCTGAAAGCGGGTGAAACACCGGTACTTGAAGTCCTTCAGAAGCTCTTCAATTCCGTCCTCCATGGTGGCACTACTCCAGAGGCGTGGAGCAGAAGTGCGGTGGTCTTGTTCTTTAAGAAAGGCGACAACGCTCTCTTGAAGAACTACAGACCGATATCCCTTCTGAGCCGCGTCTACGTGCTGTTTTCGAGAGTCATTACGAATCGTCTCGCACGCAGACTCCTCCCGAACAAGCCGGTTTCCGAAAAGGCTTCAGTATCATAGACCACATACATACCTTGCGGCAGATTGTACAGAAGACTGAAGAGTACAATCTGCCACTTTACGTGGCGTATGTGGACTATGAGAAAGCCTTTGATTCCGTCGAAATTTGGGCGGTGCTACAGTCTCTTCAGCGGTGCCAAGTTGACTGTCGGTATATCGAAGTGCTGAAGTGTTTGTACAGTAGGGCTACGATGGCTATCCGAGTACAGAACCAGAGTACGAAACCTATCCAACTGCAGAGAGGTGTAAGACAGGGTGACGTTATTTCCCCGAAACTCTTCACCGCTGCATTGGAAGACGTTTTCAAGCTACTGGACTGGAAAGGATACGGTATTAATATCAATGGCGAGTACATCACTCACCTTCAATTTGCCGACGATATAGTCCTTATGGCAGAATCGCTGGAGGACTTAAGCACTATGCTCAATGACCTCAATAGTGCCTCCCAACGGATAGGTCTTAAGATGAACATGGACTAAACAAAGATTATGTTTAATGTCCATGTCACACCTATGCCGGTAGTTGTTGGGAGCACTATGCTCGAAGTTGTTGACGAGTACGTTTACCTGGGACAAATAGTCCGACTAGGTAAGTCCAACTTCGACCGAGAGGTCAATCGACGGATTCAACTCGGCTGGGCAGCGTTCGGGAAATTACGACATATCTTCTCGTCAGGTATACCTCAATCTCTAAAAACTAGATTGTACAACCAGTGGGTGTTGCCAGTGATGATTTACGGATCTAAGACGTGGACTAGATGGAGTGACGACCTGGTAAGATATGCAGGAGGTCGATGGGTGCAGGTGGCTCAGGACCGTGCTTTGTGGCGTTACTTGGGGGAGGCCTATGTTCAGCATTGGACTTGTGAAG